CACTTCCTCCCTTGGACACACTCAGCCTAGCCAAATCCACAGCCTTGGCCGCCGCGGGCAGGGACGTCTGGCCAGGGGTTCCAGAGGTTCTATACATCCTCTCCGTGGCTCTGCCACGTCTGCAGGTCTGGGTCCCCTCCAGCCAGTACAGTCCCGGCTGTGGCTGCTCTGCGGCTGTGTGACGGAGGCACAGTCCCAAGCTCCTGCCCCTGACGGCCGCAGGCAGCAGGGCCGGACACTCCGCAGGCAGCAGGAAGTCGGAAGCTGGAGTGGGAAGAGAGGTTGGGATTGAGGTTCTTGCCTTTGCTGTTCTGACTCAGCCAGGACCGAAAACAGACTTTGGCTCCTTAGTGCAATCTGGAGCATAAACGTGAGCCCTCGTCACTTCACCGTGCTGTTCATTCTGGGACCACAACAGGAGGTGGGGGAGCGTCACTATCCCCAGCGATGCTGGGGACCAGTGGAGCCCAGGCTTGCCCTGCCCGCCCCACTCCCGCAAAACCTGCCCTGGCCTGGCCAGCCCTCGGGCCTGCCTACGACTGTTAACCGCATCCTGCAGTGGAGTTAAATTGCACCCCCAGAGTAGCTTGAAGGGTGATGGGGGCAGAAGCTCCCTGACCCCCAGGCCCACAGTGCCACCCCAGGAAAGACAGTCCCAGGGCAGAGTCAGGAAAACAGTGGCGCAAAGGATGCTCAAGGTCTGCCTCCCCGCTCCCAACCCCCTCCCCCGTCCTTCCTAAAATCCAGTTTTGAAACCAACATGCTCTCCCCAATCCCATCCATCATAATGACACCCCTACAAATCCTGAGAATCCTTTATAAGGAAGTGGGTGTCTTTAGCAGGCTTGTAACGCAGTGGGCAGGCCCCGGCAGGCCCGACGCCTGCCTCCCTGGGAGCTGGTTTCTCTTCCCTGCCTGCCCTGGCCTCTCGTCCCCACCCCAGGGGGAGAGTGTCTTGTGGGGTCCTGAGCTCCTCAGCTCTGAAACAGACTCTTCTGCACTCAACCCTCGCTCTCTCACGCACCTTCACTGTTCCCAGTGACCGCGGCATCTGATGGGGAGCCCCGAGCCCATTGAGCACGGGGGGAGCAGGCGCAGGAAGGCCTCCAGCACAAGGTCTGCCGGGACAGCGGACGGGCTCATCAGGAATGATGGCACAGGCAGCAATGGGGCCCAGAGGCTTCACACACAGGTTCTGCCTGCAGGAGAGCCCGACTTCTCTCCCTGGCGCCCCAAACTTGGCACTGAAAATTAAAAGTCTACTCCCAAAGGATCTTCAAGACCAAAAAATGATTTTCAAAAATGGTCAAGAGCACCTCTTAGTGCTCCCCCCTCAGAGTCTGGAAAGCACCGTCCGTGTCGGTGGGCACACGAAAGCCATCCGCCTCCGTGAGAACACAGGCCACCGACAGGCAAAGGTCTGGTTTGTGTCTTCCAGTCACAGCAGGCAGTGCTCCAGCGCTGCTCCTGGCAGTGCATGAGGGCCATGCACGGCGGCAGGGATGGAACCAGAGGCTGCATGCAAAGCCAAACCCCTTACCTTGGACTCTCCACTCTGTGTCTGGCCGATTTTCGCACCCCTGTCACCAATCCTGCTTTCAAGCCGGTGTCAGGAGTGAGCTGGACCTCAAACTCCTCCTGAAATACCAATGACGCCTCTTGCTTTTAAAATCTGGTTTCTTCCTGCACTTTTCGGGCACTGGTTCTGATCTGAATGATCACCACAACCTCAGGCACTGAAAGCGCATTCCACGCTCCTGAAAGTGCCAGTTCGGGGCTGGGGGAGGCCAAGTCTCAGACTCAGACCGCCAGGCACGGCACTGCAGGCGGCCGGCAGAGAGATGCAAAAGCAGCACTCTCATTTGTGGGACCAGCTGAGCCCTCCAGAGAAGGGAAATGGGGAGCCCCCTGCTGTGTTTTAGGGTTCACTCTCTCCTCAGTGCCTCAGTGCGGGGCCCGAGAGCCGGCCCTGAGGGAGCCCCTGCGCTTCTCCAGGCTGGAGGAAATTCCTCTGGTTTTATCTCATCTCCACAGGGTTTTCCACTGACTCAGGTCCAGAGCAGATTGGTTTCCAGGGCACTCCCCCGTTGCTGTCTTTTGCACAGATAGTGACATTTTTTATTTTTGTTCCCCTGCAGGCTTTTATTTACTTTCCCCTCTTTGATCATACAGATCCCTGGGCTCACTCATTCCCCGGCTTGGTGGAAATGAGACCAACAAAGGCATGGGGGTGGACGGGGGGTCCACAGAGACTGGTGCCCCAGAACACAGGGTTGCCCCCCCAGACAAGACATACACACTGTCCCGAGAGCAAGAGCAGGTGGACCAGTACGGGGCTGGCTCTAGCCCCAGGGAGAGTGCCGGCAGTGATGGTGGGGGACAGCAGGGTGGACGCAATGTTCGACACTCAGATATGGGCACATGGAGCGTGCATGGGGTTTTCTGAATATTTTTTTTTCAGTTTGGGGGCCACACCTAGTGGTGCTCAGCGTTCTCTCCTGCAGTACTTCACGGATCTGATGTGGTCTGGGGCATCAAAGCGGGTGGGTAACAGCAAGGCCAGGAACTCACCCTGGCCCGGGATGGGTCATCCTCCAGGGGCTAATGTTAGATGTGGGGGCCTCAGGAGTGCCGGGGACGATGGGCCAGGGCTCACCCCTGCCTGTCATGGGCCGAATCCGTTAGGCCTCTGTCACCAGCCACGTACCAGAGGGTCTCAGGACCGACCCAGCATTCCGGCCTCTCTTGGGGACACCCTTCTCCCTTCTCCCCTTGCACAGGGCTCGGCCTGCTTGACCCCGTGTCTCCCACAGAAGCACGTGTGAGCGCAGAACTCACTGCCCAGCACGAAGACTGAGGCCCTGCACCGACCCCACCCCTGTCAGCTGCCCAAAAGGGCTCTTCAACACCACAACTAATCAATCCTCTACCTGGAAGTTGCTGCCTCCTAAACAGGCCCTACAGGTTGCCTGTTTCCAGACAGACAAGACCGGAGTGGGGGCGGACAAAGGGAGTGGAGACCAGAGATGGTGGTGGGGGTGCCTGCCTTGGCCATGGCCACCCCCAAGTGCCCACCTCCCGGCCACTGCAGGGACTGAGCATAAAGAGCACAAAGTCAGAAGTGACTCAGCCTATCTCAACACACACACACACACACACACACACACACACACACACACCAGAGAGGCCAGAGACAAAGGACCGAGACTCAGCTGCAATCCCCAGCCCTGTAGGTGGCCACTGAGCACTGCTGGATGGGACCCATGAGCACAGAGCCAGGAACAAGCCCCGAGCACTAGAGTGTGATCCCCAAACCAAACAGGATCAAGGCCCCACAAACAGGAGAACACCCATGCTGTCTGCTCTCTTCGATGCCGAGATATGCCCATCAAATGTCCCTTCTTGGGCACACAAGACAGACTCGCAGCTAGAGAGTGTACCGGCAGGCCTGGGCCCCAAGTCCAGCCTTGGCTAAGTTGGGACAGCCCTGCTGATCCCAGGAGCACCAGTTCTGCATTTATAGGCAAGTATTCGCTTGGAGAGGCCCGCGGGCAGGGGGAGGCTGGGGGCACAGCACTGCTGGGGGCCCTTCCAGCACACTCCAACAATTCTCACATACGCCACCCATGAAACCACTAACTGGCCTGGACACATGCATACAAGCGACCCCAAATATGCCACAGCTGACTTGTCTGTAATGGTCAGCACGAAAAAAGGAGTTGCAACAACTCTGGGTGCCTGGCCCACGGCGCAGGGCTTGGTTCCGCCCCCAAGTCCTGGAGCCAGGGCACAGACCTGCCTTCTCGGCGCCCAAGGGGAGAGGCAGCAGGACAGCAAACAGAACGTGACCTCATGCCAACGGTAGCACTCCACGCTGTGAGGGCAGAAGAGCTTTTCACACAGGCCAAGGGACTCAGAGCCACAGAGCTACAGGTGGCATCTCCTGGGGCGGCAGGAGAGTGGACTGTGCATGGCACGGAGGGACAGCAGCACCTGGCCATGAGCTGTCCAGAGTCGGAGCCTCTTGGAGTCACCCCACTGGAACACAGAGGCCTGGACGCAGGCAGCACCTGGACCGCCGAAGGAAGTGCCGGCCATGGGGCCTGTCTGCAGACACATGGGTCAGTCGCTCTGACATGCACATACGCGTGAAGCCCATCCTGGTTTCCGAAACTCCACATGGAGACAACAGCCCAGGCCAAGTCTGATACTGCTGCTCCTCTCAGCCAGGCCCCAGTCCTGTTTCCAGAGTGTCCTGAAGCTGTAAAGTGGGTCAGCGGCAGAAAACAGTAGAGGCCTCACAGTCCCCTGCAGGCATGCCCAGGAACACCCACTGGGCAAGGAAACCCCTACAATTTAACGAGAAACCCTACCAATAAGCCAACAACACAGTGTCCTCAAGCCGCAGAATCAGAGGTGACCGCAAATACCTCCCTCAATGTACAGATGGTGGGGTCATGTCATGTCATGTGCAGGAAGGCCACAGCAAGAGGCTGATACCCAGACCCCGCCCCCAGCCCCCACCCTGGCACGAGGCCACTTTGTTGCAGAGATTTGGGAGGGGGCCCATGCATCATGGGAAGAGAGGGCCAAGCCCCCTGATCCGGCTTGTCAACTGCACACACTTTCCCATCAACACCTGCGAACACTGAATTCCACTGGGCTCGGAACTCCCAGGCAATGCTGAGCAAGGACAGGAGAGTCCCAGTCGTGAGCCATACAGACCCCAATGGCACTGCCAAGGCCGCAAACAACGGGCAGACTAGCCTCCCCTCCCCCCCACACACAGGCACACACATGCACATGCACACATGTATGTGTGCACTCACATGTGCACGCACACATGCACACATGCACTCACAGACTTGCACACATGTGCATACACATACGAAGACATGTGTGTATTCACACACATGCCCCTGATCAGTGGGCTTATCCACTTTCTCTGGGATTGCCATGGGTCTAAACTCACCAGAACCAGAGGGAAGGGCAGCGCTTACCTCGTGACCTCCTGCTGGAGCCAGGACACGTCGGGCACATAGAACATGACCCCGAAGAACAGCAGGGGCTCGTTGGCAAACTTGTCCAGGTGTTTCTTCAGTGGCTTCTCCAGCTCCACCCACCGTGCCTGTTGGCTCTTGCTGAGAAACCAGAGGCCGAAGAAGTGCGTCTAGAGGCAAGGGGAGAGGAGAGGCGTTGTCAGCTCTGCTTCCTCCAGCTATGGCCACACAGGCCCAGGCCCTGCTCTGGACACTGTCGTGCCCACACCCGTGCCCCCCCCCCCCCCCGTCTTTCCCTGCCCTGGCTTGACTGGCAGAATCACCAGCCCACTGATCTGTCCACGGGGCTTCCGACCACGTCCACTAGGTGAGGGGGTGGCACAGGCAGGGGTTTAGAGCTGCTTGCTGCCCTGCAGGCCCAGGCTACTTCCTGAGGGCCTGTAGGCTGCCTGACACCCTCTCCTATCAGCCAACGGGGTCCTGGCACCTGCCACCATGCCACCCCTCTTTCTGAGACTGAACATTCTGCAGGCGAGGAGGTCCACCTCCAGGTTTTAGTGGAAGACCAACCTTCCCTCGTGCCCTTGGAGGCCTGATTTCTTAAACTAGGGGTCAGGAACCCCAGCCGGGGGACATGGCTGAACACGGGGCAGCAGTGAACAGGTTCTGAACGGGCACCACCTGGAACTGAGCTATCTGCCTCTCACGACACCGAGGCATCTGTGTCGAGCAGAGAAAATCAAGGAGCAGGGCTTGCAGCTGCACCGCCCTGAGCCTCTTTATCATGCACGAGCGGCAGCGAATCCCTTGCCCACTCTAGCTCGCACGCGGGGGCGCTCCTCGCCCAGCTGCCACGCTGCCTCCCGGGTGCTCCTCGACCACTGTGGTGGGATTTGACAGATGAAAGTCAGAGACTCACCCTCGGACTTGGAGCCACCAGTTGCTGCCTTTGGAACACACTAAATGATTAAAACAGGCACTTTCATGCACCCAATCCTGTCTTTACATTAATTCATGTGAGGATTTTGCGATTAGCACAACAATCGCCAAAACCAGAGAAGGCGGTGTTTGAAGTCTTCTTTCATATTTCAATTACAGTCTCCAGTGCTTGGCAGTACACCTGGAATCCTGCCTCAGAAGAACGTTTCCAGGACAATGCTTCATTTCCAAAAGTGTTCCTGGGGCAGGCCAACGTCCCCACCCGGGCTGGCCGCCTCTCCTTCCCCAACAGCACCTCAGACCAGCACCAACTGACCAAACCTGGACCTGTCTGGATTCTGCATGACTACAACCCCACATGTGACCTTGCCTACCAACAGTCACGGAACCAGATGTTCTAAACCGATGTTTCTTAATCTTGCTCCGATCATGACTCCCCTTCTGACTCTGTTTACTTCCTAGTGGTTGACCCCTAGTCTCATGCTATTGACCCCCATCGATGAAAAGTCTTCGGCGAACATTCAGAATGGCATCGTGCCAAGGACCTCCACTTTCCTAGGACCGCTGACCTGCTCGGCTGCTCTCCGCGACACTCCAAAAGGCAGGCCCACACTGGCACCTGTGCCTTTCTCAAGCGGCAGAATGCCCAGAGAACGGCACGGGGTCAAGATGCCACCAACTCAGCCAGCCTGTTTCACTGGTCCCCGGCCCTGCCACACATGTCCCAGCCTCTGTGGGCACATTCGCGGTTCTAGCAGGACTGAGGGAGCCGAGAAAACACCAGGAGGAAGGAGGCGGCCCTGGAGCCTCGTCCATCACTCGGCATTCACTGTCTTGGAACCTGGAAAGTTCCTGAGACCCCCAGAGCCTCGGCCTTTGCTCATCTTTGAGTGAGGGATGGTGGCTCTGTGAGGGTTATCCTGAGTTGATGTGAGTGTCCATGTGAAGGGCTGCATGAACAGGGCTCTCTGGTGTCACTCTGCTGCTCCGGTCGCTGTCACTGACCAGCACCACCCAGACTCTCCTTACCACATCCCAATTCTATCAACACCATCACCATGGCCATCACCCATATCAGCAAGACCCTCAGCACAACCAGGACCCACCAGCGCCAATCGCCATCCTCCAAACCATCCCCTCACTCGCCAAACCCTCATCAGCACCAACACCATCAGCAGCAACACTCCCAGTCATCACTGCACCAACCTCGCCATCATCACTAGCATGATCTGGCCACTCCCCGTGTCAGAGGGAGGCAGTGAGTGGCAGAACCTTCTTGGCACACTCTCGCAGGACCTACTGTCAGGGGGTGGACCAGTGTGGTGCTGCGGGACTGCAGCCACCTGCTCTGAGACACTCAAAGCCCTCTCTCCCATGCCCACCTCCCCTCTGCATCCTCCTTGCCTCTCTGTCTCCATCTGTCTCTCTCTCTCCCCTCCAAAGAGCCCACAGATGGGAAAGACCTTCTCTGCTCCTCAGCCCCCTGCTTGCTGTCCCTTTCCAATGTGGCCCAAGTCTGCAGTGAATGGGGGCAGAGTCAGCCTGTCCCACACCCCCTGTCTCTGACTCAGCCATGGAACCCCCAGCCCCGCGGAGAGCCCAGCTCCACTGGCCTCGGGGACTCACTACCAGCAGCTCCAGTGGAGTGCTGAGTGCCACACGGCTAAGGGGAGCAGTGATCAATTCCTGACAGAATCTGGCCCCTGCACGCCAAGGACACGCAAAGACACACTGCGGCAGGCAGTGGCACCCGAATGGCTGGGCTTCGCTCTGAGGGCCAGACAGAGCCAGCTCTCTGGGTGGGAGGGACGAAGCCACATGCCCTCCAGGGCCCTGCAATCAGGAAGGAGCCTGACATTGGAGAAACAAGACGGGAGCTCTGAGTTGCCAGCACAGACACTGGCATCCAGGCTCGGTGCTGCCGCTGAGGGGTGGCAAGGCCTGGCAGGGGCCGTGCCGAAAAGAGGCAGCAGGAGCATGTTGCCTGAGTGTGGAGCCAGCTGCTCTCTGCAGCAGCAGGAGCTGCGGTGGGCACCCGGAGGCCAGGGACGCTCCCCGGGGGCATCAGGGGGCTAGAGAAGAGCAGACCGTACACCCGCCTCAGGGAGTGCATCGGAGGAATGAGAGGTGTCACCCATAGCAGCCAAGAAGGCAACGCAGGGAGGAGGCCTCAGGCGGGGGCAGGGTGGGGATGGGGCGCTCTGCCCGCGCTGCACTGGACGGCCCGCTTTGCTGCAAACCCCCTTTTGATCTGCAGGCAATTTCGGGGGACAAATTCCATGCTCCATGATCCTACTGGCAGAGTGGGGATGAGCTTGGTGAGTGACACCCGAGCCTCGAGCCAGAGAAAGCACTCTCTCTCCCGAGGAGAGGAGACGGGCAAGACGGAGCAACAACGCGCTCCACAGGGTAGGCACCGGAGAACGGACATGGGTGCCCAGGAACTATGTGGCCTGAGCGCCAGCAGGGCGCAGGTCAGATGTCCATGGCACTCCCAGCCAGGTCCAAAGGCTGCCCAGTTCTGACCATCAGCGGAGCCTTGGCCCATCTGGGTTGTGGTCATCTCCTCACAGAGCACGTGAGCACAGTGCGTATATGTATATGTGATGTGTGCTCGTGTGTATATGCACATGTGTAGGGACTGTATTTTTACACATTACACTAAGAGGCCTGAGGGCCAGGGAAGACCACGCGCAGAGTGGGCGAAGACCCCTGCACTGCACAGACAAGAGCTCTTCCCGAAAGGTCACATCAAATCAAAGCACAGATACCCCCGATGTCTAGTGTTTTCACTGATCAAATGCATATTAAGATTCTGTGTCTTCCGGGACCAGAGAGACAATATGGAGTTAGGGGGGATGTGTAAGGCACTTGCCTGGCACTTGGCTGAGCCTGGTTCAGTCCGCAGCACCACAGTCCCCCACATGAGTGTGGCCCAAAGAGAGCCTGGAGCAGCCCCTGAGCACTGCCGGGGATAGCCCCAAACCAGCTCCCAAAGGAAGAAGGAAAATAAACGGAGTCTGCGACTTTGGGAACACTAGCCACTCTTAATACGGTAAATGTGCAGTTTCCACCCTAGCCGATGGCCTGAGAGGAAGTCAGCCCTTCCCATGGTGGAAACAGGAATTAACAGAAATGAATGATCTCCAGCCTCAGGCCCAGCAGCAATGACCAGAGGCCAGTTAGGGGGCACGAGGGATTTGCCTCCACCTGCCCCGCCCTGTGGCACAAGAGTGAAAGCACCCCCAAATCATCTCCCCACACCCCTGTCTCTCGGTGCCCACTCCAGGGACCAAAGTGGTGGGCAGATCCGACCCAGAATCTGCGCCCTGGGGGACCCGATCAATGGGGGGTGAGGGTCCCCCTGGCTTCCTGGGCAGTATCTGCTGAGCACCCCCACAAGGCAGGGCACTGTGGGGACGAGCCCGTTTCTGTGACCCCCGTCTCAGAAACCTCGTTCTGCGGGACTGAACTGGACTCCAAGGCAGGCCCCTCTTGGCGGTCATGGCCAGGTCCCACCCACAAACCACACCCTCCCCTGAAACACACAGGCCAGGCCTGGAGCGCGGCTGTCCCTGACAATTCCATCTTCTTTCCTATTTCCCCACTTTGGTGTAGGTTCTGTCCTGCTCGCCAATCTCCAGGGACGCTGGGAGCAGCAATTCATCCTCAGCCTCCCTGGCTGCATACCCAGGACCAGGTCAGGGTCCATCAGCGTACTGTGAAACGAGACCCAAACCCCAAATCCCATCTCTGGATGGGTGTCATCACCCCCCGCCAGAGCTCCTGGAAGGACACCAACTGTGGGGTCATGTGAACAGAGACAGCAGGTGCTGAGGACGCATCCAGGGTTACCCCCTGCACCACATGTGCCTCCACAGGGAGGGGGGCCTGGGAGGGCAGAGGAAGGAGGGTGTGGGGCTCTGCTTTTTCCACTCAGTTTCGCGATGACCTGACCACTGTTCTAAACGTGAGTAAAAGCCAAGAGACAAGTGGCTGCTGCATCCCCCAGCGCCCAGCACGCACATGGGTACACATGCACACTAGTGCAAACACATGTGTCCGAAGCACAGGGCAGGTGCCACAGGAATACACATCACAGCATGAAAGCACAAGTATGGTGACATCATATAAACATGTGGTTACATAGGCGTGTCCCTACATATCCGCATATACACGAAAGCACACATAACATATATACTCATGCACTCACCCCACATATGCACACACACACATGCACATTCACACCATACATGCATATACGCATGCACTGACACATCACGTGTGCATGCCGCCCTCACGTCACACACTCACGCACAGTCATGTATGTCTGTGCACGTGTGTGCTCACACGGCCCAAATGCATGTAAATGAACAGTTAGACATCACATGTTCCTCCGCACACCTGTGCTTGTTTCACTCATGCACACACATGCACCCACACATCGCGTGTGTAGGCGTGCATCACCAGTGCACACACATGTGCCCGCACCATACACACGTGCACCTGCACTTACCTCCCGCAGCTCCAGCCTCTGGGCCACAGCCTCCAGGCACTCCTGGCCGGTGCTGTCCACGGAGAGAGTGCACTCCACAACACTGCTGTCCAGCAGGCGGATGCGGGTGACAAAGCAGTTCTTGCTCAGGACACTGTAGCGCCGTGTCCGGCGGAGCTTCAGGCCGAAAGGCATGGTGACGTGGGGCTGGCCACCGCCTCGCACAGAAGAGCCTCAGCAGCGGACAAGCCGACTCCTCCCAAAGCGGGAAGCTGTGTCCATGCCCGGCGTGGACCCCTGGAGCAGCGCTGTGAAGGCAAGAGTAGACCAGGTCACTGGTGGGAAAGCAGTGGGCGCGGTGTGCCCTGAGCCTCCAGACCCACAACCCGCACGCTCCAGAAAGCTCCATCTGTGGCTTCAGTGAACAGGGCTCGGCGCTGTTCTGGCATTTCCCCCCTGCCTGGTTCTGCAAGTGAAGATGAACCAGATCCATTGGACAGAGCTGACAACCTGCCCACAGAGCCCCCTCGGAAGTGCTGGGCTGTGGCAGAGGAAAGCATGGAAGCCACGGATGCAACCTACGTGAACCGTGTGCATTCCACTGTTAATTGTGTGTGTGCCACTGTGGACCACCCGTGGGACAAGAAAGAACCTTTTCTATGCTTGACTTGTGAGCAACCTGTCAGGGAAGGGAGTGGCAGAGAAGGTGTAAGAAAGGGCAGAGCAATAGCACAGTGGGTAGGACATGTGGCTTGAATGCTGCAGCCCTGGTTTGATCCCTGACACCACATATGGTTCCCCTGAGCACCACCAAAGATGATCCCTGAGCACAGAGCTGAGTGAGCCCTGAGCACTGTCAAGTAAAGCTCACTCTCCCCCAAAAAGGTTCCTTGGCACATGGCCCTCTGCTGGCCAGGGCCTCAGAGCAGCACATGAACACATAAGGACACACAGGCAAGCGAACACACAAGGACACACAGGCAAGCACACACATGCACACACACACACACACACACACAGAGCACAGTGCCGTGGAGTCAGTCCAGAGTCAGGGGGGCTGAATGAGGGACCCAGGTTCGATCCCTGGCAATACCTGCACTCCTGCCAGCCCCTCAGGACCAGGTATTGAAGTGTCCACTCTGGCTGGCCAAGTTTGGGGGGTTGGGCCCCCGGATCCCCTGAACAGAGCTTAGGATGGCTGGGATTAAAAAAAAAAAGTCTCAATAAATCCCCCTGTGCTGTGCGCTGGGTACTCGGGCTGGGGCGGGCCCGTGCGGTATGTGCAGAGCCATGAAGGCGGCACCGAGGAAAGCATGGTAGCTGGGCTGCAGCGAACAAAAAGGGACAACTGGCTGGCACCGGCAGGAGACAGTCTGCCCCGGACCTCCCAGGTTATTCAGTTATCTGACGGGAACCTGGAAGGAGCAGGGCACAAAAGAGCCCTCGGTCAGAGAGTGGAACCCACAGCCAGCCAGAGAGCACAGCGGGGGTGACATGGGCCCTGCACGCAGCCACCAGGTTTGCACCTTGGCACCGCAGAGGGTCGCTGAAGCACTGAGGCAGGAGACAGTCCTGAGCAGTGTCGGCTGTGGCCCCCAAACAAGCGAAGAGAATCGGTGAGGCAGGCCTGTCTTGGTGCCCCGCTGCAGCCTGAGACCTCCACAGCTCGGCCAGTCCCCCCAGAGGACACCACATGGCAAAGGCCGTCTCCCCCCGCTGCTCCCAAGTGGGTCTCCACAGAGTGGCATTGGACCCCCGTGAACATGTCACAGATGCGCCCTGCTCGCCCTGTAGGCACCAGGAAGGCCCTCCCACTTACACCCCCTCTTGTCGGAGCGCATTCTGTGCTCCCCTGCACCCTCTCCAGATGTGTCCTGAGACCACCGACTCACCCTGAGCTCGGCACGGAGCCCTGTTTGCCCACAGCCGCCACCTCCCTCTGAAACGTGCCCAGCATTCCGCCCAGTGGCTCCCAGCACACCTCACACCGCTGTGCAGCCAAGCCTGGCATCCTGGCCGCGCCTGGCCAGGTCCACGCTGCGGCCCGCAGTCCATATCCATGCGGGAAAGCATGGCATGGCTTCCTGAGGAAAGTTCCAGAAGAGGAGCTCTAACGTGGATGACGGGCTTCTCAGAGTTCCTGCTGCAGGAGCAGAAGCACATTTGCTTTGTGGATGGAAGCAGGCTACTCAACGAGACCGGAGCATCTACCTGGCAGCTTCTCCCAAGGACTGCCTCGAGCCTGAAGCCTGGGAGAGAGCTGAGCGCTGGAGCCCCAGGTTTGAGCCCCGGCTCCGAAGCTGTACTGGCATGCTCTGCTGTCTCTGAATCCCATCCGCGCAGCCTATCACGGGCAGACAAGGACGGGGGTCTCCCAAAGCACAGCACAGAAACCCCAGGCTCAGCCACCAAGTGGGGTAGGGAGGGGTCAGTCTCACGTCCTCCCCCCATCCCGCTGTTCGTGTCACTGTGACCCTCACAGCTCTGAGGGTCCTCAGGCTACCTCTGCACTTGCTGACCATGCAGCACTGCCCCACACACGACCTGTTGCACCACACCCGGTCCTGGCCACCCCCACCCACGTGAAGGCGACATGCAGCCTCCACCACTCTGCAAGCAGGCAGAAGCCATGAGCTGGGGGACGTGCTTCTCTTTCAAGCCCCGGGCCCCAAGACCACTCCCATCTCCTGCCCTGCTCCTGGAACCCCATGACCCCCACCACAGCCCCTGGCCCTGCGCCCTCGGCCGCTGCAGAGGGGGAGGGCTAGGACATGAATGGCCACAGGGGAGGCAGCAGGGAAGCCACAAAGCTGGCCCGAGGCCGACTGGAAACTGCCCACGTCAGTGCCCGGTCCCCACCCAGCTGGCAGGAAGGCGGACAATAATACACTGCTGTCCCCACCTCCCCCGTGTCCCCGGGAGGGAGGTGGCTGCTGCGACACTCGGGGGTGGTACTCTGTGCTTTCAGCGGGTGGGGGCCATGCTATACTTGGGGAGTCCCTGCAGTGCTCGCCAGAGCTCACACTTGTGCAGCTCCGCAGGGCTGAGGTGTGACTGGGACGGCTGGGGCAGGCTCCCGCCAGAGAGCCATCACCCAGGCCCCAAACGACCCACCCCAGCCACGAAGGCCAAGCAGAGCCACCGAAACAGCTCGGCTGCCTACGAGCTCTGCACCCCAAAGCCAAGAGCGCCCACGAGCACCAGAGGTTTCCAACGGGGGCTACCCCCGGGGTCAGGGGCTGCAGGAGCCAGGTTGGGAGACGAGTGCACTGACAAAACCCCGTAACTCTGGAAAAACTCCTTTCCAGCCCCTGCTTTGCGGTGACCCCCCTACACATGCGCGTGCGAGCACACGCGCGCACACACACACACACACACACACACACACACTCAGAGGAGACACGAAGCACGAGCACAGTTTGTATGTGCTCACTGAAGGCCCCTGGCACTCAGAACACACCCATCACAAGAGTGGGAGAGGACTCATCTGGGTTTGCTTGAGAGCACTGAGGAAGGGGGAGGGTGCTGGGTGCGGGGAGGCAGAACTGGCTGGAAGAGGCTGTTATTGGCACGGGGAACCAAGCGAGGCACCCCTTCTCCAGTTTCATACAAGCTTAAAACTGTGCTTAGAAAATTGGGTTCTCGGGGGCTGGAGCGATAGCACAGCGGGTAGGGCATTTGCCTTGCACGCGGCCAACCCAGGTTCGAATCCCAGGCATCCCATATGGTCCCCTGAGCCCCGCCAGGAGTAATTCCTGAGTGCAGAGCCAGGAGTAGCCCCTGTGCATCGCCGGGTGTGACCCAAAAAGCAAAAAAAAAGTTGTATTCTCAAGGCCAGAGTGAAGGTCTAGTGTTGAGGCGCTTGCCTTGGTGCGGCTGACCTGGCACCCTGTAGGAACCCGAGTGACCTCTGAGCACAGACCCCAGATCAAGCCCTGAATACTCCCAAGTGTGCCCCCAACCCCAATAATAAATAAATGAGGTCGGGGCCAGAGAGAGAGAGTGCGAGGTCAGAGGGCTGAAGCCGAGCTTTCCACGCAGGGGCGGGAGGTCTCCTGGGGGACAGGCGCCACCGTAGCAGTGTGGCCAGGACAGGGACTGCTGGGCTCTGTGCTCAGGGGCCACTCCGTGTGCTCCAGGACTGAGCCTGACCAAGTCTTGGTGTCGCGGTGACAGGGACAGCGAGTTCAGAGGGGGGTGCGGGTGGCACATTCTGGCCCTGGAGTCTGTGACAGAGCCCACATCCGCCCTCCGGAGGAGCTGCTCGGGGAAGCGGCCGAGACCCCAGGCAGGCCGAAGCCTGAGATCCTGGGAGGAGTCGCCAGAGCCCTCCCCAGAGCCAGAAAGGACATGCCCTCGTCCCCCCCCCCCCAACCATCCACACTCCCTGTCCACACTCTGCCCCCCAATGCCCACTCAGGCAGGACCACGGGAGCCCCCGGACACGAGGAGGGGCACACGCAGTGGGGGTGCAGGCTGCTTGGGTCTCACACCAGTGGCCTTCGTCGGCCGTACTGTGTTCTGTCTCAACGGCAGCAGACTTGGGGTCCCGGCCATGCATGCCCACACACCGTAAGCACATGTGCACACACATGCATGCAGTACACATGCACAACGCTCTCACCCAGCAGTTCTCTTTAGTGGTGGAGGTCTACACCACAGAGCAGGAGACCTTGGTGCCTCTGCCAAAGCCAGTTCCCTGCAAGGTCCCCACCTGGCCACACGAGCCGAGCAGGGCCAGGCCCCCGGGAACTCCCCCGAGCAGAAGGCACCGTCTCCCTCCTTCCCGTTTCCTGCCTCCACTTCCCCAGGTGTGGGTGGAAGAACTCTCCTGTCACTTCCTGTCCCAACAGCAGCCGGACCGTCCTCACTGTCAGGGCCAGGGCCGCGTCTTCAGCACCTCCTGGTCTCCCACCTTCTCCCTGGGTCTCTCACCGCCACCAAAGACCACCATGGAGCCGGGTGAGCCCCGGTCGGATGCTGCCGCCTGGCCTGTGAAGTGAGAGCACCCGCAGCCTGGCGCTGGGGAACTACCGAGTGCAGATCTGCAGACACTGCACCATGCTGGGCTGGGAAGCTCACGCCTTACCCGGCTTGAAGGCCGCTGAGCTCACACCTCACCCACACCTCACCCCTGCCGTGGCTGCCACTGAGACCCACGGTGGGAAAGGACGGGCCAGCATGACATGTGGGGCATTTACAGCAAAGCTCCGCCCTA